ATTACACCGTCATAAAATTGAAAAATCTTAAGTTGAAGCTTCCTAAGTCAGGGACCATCTCTACAGAGATTTATAATACTGTAGAGTCATGTGCTGCATTACATTTTGCTCAATGATGGACCCATAAGATTATAATGGAGCTGAAAAATTCCTATTACCTAGTGAGGTCGTGGCCTTCAAAACATCGTAGGGCAACGCATTACTCACGCGTTTGTGGTGATGCTGGTGTACACAAACGTGAGCTGCCAGTCATATAAAAGTATAGCACATATGATTGCAGTAGTAGGCCATACCTTCTAGGTTTGCGTAAGTGTACTCTGATCGAGTTTTGCAGGACAAAATTGCCTACTGATGCATTTCTCAGGACATATTCCTGTCGTTAAGTGGTGTATGTGTGTATATGGAAGGTGAGCAGAGTTTACCGCCCCAGAATATGCCTCTCTGGGATGTGGATTATTTTAAGATGGTTATTTTAAAGAAACAAAAGATTCAGGAAGAATCTCTGAACTTCCCCTAACTCTGTAAAAGAATTTAGACAGAGGACCTACTCCAGGAAGGCAACTATCATCATAGATAACTAGAGTTTAATATGAACTAGGTGTGATAGACAGGGAGGAACCTAGCAAATCCCTTTGATAAAAGTCCTCTGTGTTTCACTGTTAAAGAGAGCCCAGCAAACATTTGCTTATCCATTGCTGTATGAATTGCCTTCCTTTCTTTTGAAGTCTCAAACAACTACTCGCAAACTCCCCCACACCCGGCCTTTTTCTCATTAGGTCTTTGGGTCCCATATTCTTATAGAACTCCCATATGTACATATGTAATCAAACTTGGTTATTTTCTCCTATTAATGTTTTGTCATTTTAGTTGAATAGCCAGAAGAAGAGGAAAAATATCAAAAGAAAAAGTACTTACAGGACTGTGTACATTATGTGATCCCACTAGATATTCACTTACACTCATACACACAAATAGACAGAGGATAGGGTTTGGAAGCATATAAACCAGGCTATTAAAAATAGTTATTTGGAAGTAATTAGGATTGTGAGAGTTCTTTTAATTCCTTTTTTTGTTTATATTTTCTGATTTTTTTTTTTCTCTAGTGAACACATATTGCTTTATATATATTAAAAGGACAATTAAGTTTGACTTTGCCGGGCAGGCAGTAGCCAAGGAAGATGGTCTGAATTCTATTCTTCTCACTATACCATTACATATTCATTAAACCAATAACATTTATGAAGTCCCATGGAATTACAATATCCCAAGAAAACAAAGTTATAATCTTCTTTTGATTTTACCATTATATGACACTTAACCTACTTTTGTCAGTCTTCATTAATTCACATGAATTCAGTATTTTAATACTTATTCACTCTGAGACCTAACCCCTAACTTGGGGTGAGGAGTTAAAATTATACAGCTAATATAGAGTGCTGTTAACTACCAGGCAGCATCACAATTGTTAAAAGCATTCTTAAGTCTTTGGAATGGATCTTGTTCAAATTTGGTTGTGCTACCTTGTGGCATCTCTCTGATACTATCTACTGGAGAGATTCTGAGATTTGAGCATTTGTAAAGCTCTTAGCTCAGAGCTTAATACACTGTATATATCTAATATTGTATCTATTCAATCAAACTATTTCCTGCTTTAGGAGTACCTTAAGGCAGCGATCCCCAACCTTGTTGGCACCAGGGACCGGTGCTCCTATGAGAATCTAATGCCCGACAATCTCAAGTGGAGCTGAGGTGGTGATGGTAGTGCTGGGGAGCAGCTGCAAATACAGATGAAGCTTTGCTTGCTCTTGCACTGCTCACCTCCTGCCGTGCCCGGTTCCTAACAGGCCGCAGACAGGTACTGGTCTATGGGGCCCGGGGGTTGGGTATTGTGTTCCAAAGTGAAGTTAGAGACATTCAGAAGAGCATTACAGTAATCCCTCCTACTCTTATGTGTTGCAGCCATTCTTAAGTAAAGTAAGGTTACTTGAACACAATTACTGCAATACTGCGATAGTCTGATAACCAAGAGCTACTCAGTGACTAATGGGTGGGTAGCAAATATAGCATGAATACACTGCACAGAGGGATGATTCACATCCCAGATGGGCCAAAGGAGGATTGCATCAGATTTCATTACATTGCATTAAATTGCATGCTCAGAAGAGCATGCAATTTAAAACTTATGATAAATTGTTTATTTCTGGAATTTTCCATTTAATATTTTCGGACCACGGTTGACTGTGGATAACTGAAACTGGAAAGCAAAACCGTGGATAAGAGGGGATTACTGTAAAGTATTTAAAGGGAGTTGCGAAACTAGAGCTGTCACTTGGTGTGCCAATACCGGCAGTAGCAAAAATGAATTGTCCAATTCTGGTTTTGTTCCCTACCCTTTCATCACATATTCTCTGCCTTCCATGAATTTACTTTTTTAAAAAGAAAATGCTGAGTAAGAATCAAAGACACATTGATAAGTGATTAGGCCTGATCAAATGAGCACTGATTTTTCTGTCCTACTACAAGACTTGTTAATACTACCAATGGAGAAGTCGAGAGAATGTACAGGAATCAGAGCTGTGTCAGAAAGCCATAGGTAGCTTTATTACTGTTGCTCTTTGTCTGCAAAGATTATCAGACCCCAAAAGACTTGAACTTACTAAAACACACAAGCCTGAGGCAGACACCAAAAGGCTAATTAACTTGCAGTGAATAATACCACGGACGGACACGCAAATCAGAAATGTATGGCACTGGCATTTTCAGTGCGGTCCCTCTTTGTGGTCGTTAAGGCATATCCTCTCAGGACAGCACCCTTTCCGTAGCTGAGAAAGTTGCTTGGGGGCATGGAATCAAAAAAAGGAGCATCAAAGAAAAGAAGTATCCAGGGCCATCATTTCCCCAAATGATGTCCTCATCTGGTACTAGAAATATTTGCAGTCTGGCTAGGATAGTACTAAAATGGATCCCAGTAAAACCCTGAGGCTCTCTTTTCCCATATTCTCTCTTTTCTGCTTAGTGAAACTTTAGTCAGTCTACTAGCTCAGCTGCTATTCTCGCTCCAAATGTCCATTTTGGATAAGTTATGGTATGTAGCCACTTTGCTACAAAGTAGATATTTATAAATACTACATATCTCATATGGGTAAATGGTGTTTGATGAGTATATGGGAATATGAAGTGAACCAAATCTGATGAAAACAGGAGGCCTAAATTCAAATAAACTTATTTTGAAAATGAGCTTTGTAGATGAGAATTGAACACAATTAGTATATGACTGGAGAGTCTCTTAAAAGGCCAGCAAGTCCATAGATTTTGTATAGTTAGCTAAACAGTATGGCACGGTGAGAATTACTCGCTACAAAGTGCAGAAAGGACTCACAGAACCATAGAAACACGTCAATTTACCCGGGTAAACTGACAGAAAAGGGAGAAAAATGAGATTGGGTGCAAAGGCAGCAGAGGAGAGCGTCAAGAAGCCATGGTTAGTTACTACTAAGATTCTGGCTATACTTCAAGAAGTCATAGATCAAATTATAGCTGATTTCAAGGTTTCTCTACTTGACATCCTCAAGCCTCTTCTCCTTCCAGTGCCCTTCCGCCCCGCCCAGGTATGCTCTGCCCCCCAAGCAACTACTGGACTGAAATCAAATCCACCCTACATCCTCCACGAGGCCTTTTCCGTCTATTCCGAGGCCACCGGGGAGGTCACCTGGCTCCTCCGAATCGCTGAGCACCTTTGGCTCTAAAATCCCAGTTAAGACCTGTCTTCCAGAAGCCCCGGCCGTAAATCCAAAGGCAATAGCTGCAAACAGTCTCCGGTCTTGACTTTATCCGTACCCCAAGAAACAATCTGACCACTACTCCTGTGCTTCCCCGGGTCCCCAGCAGCCCTTAGCAGTCCCTAGCCGGGCACCCCTACTTCAGGCAGACGCCCGGAGCCCGCCCCCGGCGT